AGTCGTTAATAAATGCTACGAAAAAAGTTACCATTTACGGCCTCTGTGCTAAGTCCCTTCCGTGGATGATCTCATTTAATCTTCCCCACCACCTTATGAGGAGGTACAATTTTCCCCCCTTTATCCATGAGGAAACAGGCCCAGAGGGGCTCAAACCCTGCCCAACATCACACAGCTGGCAAGTAGCAACATTAGGACAAGAACCCAAACCGGTGTGAGGATTAAGTGAATAAACACTCAGTCCCTTCTCCCCGGCCCCTGGCCAGCCCACTGTCTTCCCGTTCCCATTCCTATCCCTCATCCCATACCCCTGCGTCTCCCTGCCTCACCCCACAGTCCCTCCCAGCCTCCCCTGGTGCCAGCACGGGGAGGGGCACACACCCGAGCTCCACGAGGGGCGGCTTGTCACGGCCCCTGCGGTAGCAGATGACGGGTTGAGTTCCACTCAGGAGCCCAGCACTGAGTTCCAAGGGGTGGCCCCCCACAGAGGCCTGGATGCAGGTATAGCCCTGGGGCACCTCCTCGCCCAGCGCCCTCGCGATGACTGCCACATCGGTGATGGGCTCAGCCGGCCGGGGAGGGCGCAGGGGCCCACTGGGCTCAGGAACCCACGTCTCCTCGGGAATGGGTGCTCCGCTTCCCGCAAGCCCAGCTATCACGAAGTAATCCACCAGCCGGGGGGGCCGCTCCTCCGCCATGGCCCCCCCCTCACTCTGCATCTGCAATGGTCAAGGAAGGCTGGTGTTGCCATGGCAACCAGGGTGCCCCCTCCCCCTTGCTTCTCTCCTCTTCCTAGTCCCTCCAAGGAAAGGCAGGATCAGTGGTCAGCCAATCCTGAACTCTCCCGCCTATGACATCACCAGGCCTTCAGAGCCCCACCACAGCTTCTTAAAGAGACCAGGACCCTCTCTTATGGTCCTGCCCTCTCCCTAAAGGACCCAAACACTCCACCACACACCTGTATCCCTTTTAAAGACCCCTACCCTCCTCACCCCCCACCCATACAGAGTTATAATAGGTCCGTCTTTTCTGCAGTGGCCTGCAATGACATCATTAACTTTGGCCATGACATCATGCCAACCTTACAGGTTTTTTAAGGGTTTTTGAACTTCTTAACTCTAGTTATGGCATCTTAAGAATTACACGAGCCAGTTAATGTTCTTAAAGAACCCACCTCTAGATTTTGGGAGCACCCAAGTGTCCAGAAAACCCACAAAACCCAAGCTTTAGTGTCCTTTCACCAGACTCAAGTGCCCTTTTTCCTCATCTAATTCCATGAAACCAGCGGTTCTCAACCTGTGGGTCGCGACCCCTTTGGCGGTCGAACAACCCTTTCACAGGGGTCGCCTAAGACCATCCTGCAGATCAGATATTTATATAACGATTCATAACAGTAGCAACATTACAGTTATGAAGTAGCAACGAAAATAATGTTATGGTTGGGTCACAACATGAGGAACTGTATTTAAAGGGCCAGAAGGTTGAGAACCACTGCAACTGATAAAAAAAAACCCAACAAAAACCAACAACCAAAACAACAGTGCCCGCCCACCTCCAGGGTCCTCGGGTTACCCCGTGAGGACAAAGGCGGCTGTGGGAATCAGTCCCGGCCACCCCCATGCCCTCCTCCAGGGAGCCCCACGATAGGCCCACAACAGGTCTTCAGTCACTGAGTTCTCACCTGCCTCCATGGCCAACCCCGAGAGTGGGAGCCTAAGGGCCCTGGGGAGCCCCAGGTGCAGAAGCTAGCAAAGAGCCTGATGGGTGGCTTGCAGCGGAGGACAGGAGGAATGGGGGTGCTTCAGAGGGGAAGGGAAGTGACTTCCTGGAACAGTGGAGGGGAAGCTGTAGCTCAGCCCAGCTCAGCGGAAGTCAGCCTATGGGTGTGAGTTGGGGGGGCGGGTACCATTGAAGGCGCCAACGCAGCATCATGCCCAGTGTAACCTCAGACGAAAGGACCCCCAGCTCAGCATGGCCCCAGGATATACAGTCCTACTTAACCTCAGAGAACGTCAAGGAGCAAGGGGATCTCAGGAAGCCAGGTTGGCCTTCTCCTCAGTATGGCTTCTGGACACACACACACACACACACACCTCCAGCTAAATTTAGCCTCCGTGTCTGGAAGGTGAAGCCAGGAGTCAGCGTCAGCCTCCTAATTTAGCTCTGGGGCACAACCGCATCCCTCACCCTCTGCAGGCGAAAGGGCGCCCTGTGCCCCAGGCAGCAGGCAGGAGCCCTTGGTGGGCCGAGCGGGTGGCCCCGACCCGCAGGACCTGCTCACTAGAGCCTCCGTCACCCAGCCAGGGAGACACCCTGCACGAGGCAGCCCTTGCTGCCTGGGGAAGGCGAGGGGCGCGGGCACCACTCGGGGTCCCCACGCCCACAAACCAGGCGATGGGGAGGTCGGGCCGGGGCGGCGGGCGGGCGCGTGGAGCAGGAGACTGACTGCGGAGGAAGGGCCGGAGCACCGGGGACGGGGCAGGTGCGCCAGTCGCGAGGGACATGACAGCAGCAGCGCCGCGTGACCTGAGCCAGAGGGAGGGGTGCCCTGGCTGAGGACCCGCAGGAGCAAGGGGTGCAGGGCACCGGGCGCCGCTAGCGAACTCCCCTCCACTTTCACTTCCCCAGGAGAGAGGAACCGGAACCAGATGTGCCACGCCAGAGAACAGCTGGGGGACCTCCTCCCGCCCGCACCCCCTCCCTTCCTTCCCCGCCCGCCACCCCGCCCGGTCCGGCCCCTACCTGCCTGCCCTGCGACTCCCTGGCCGGCCGGCCCGCTGCGGGCGGCAGGGAGAGTGGGCTGGCGGCCGGCGGGCGGGCGGTGGACGGTGCGCTACCCGGCCCCGGACATGGCGCACCCGACTTGGGCGCCACTCCCGCCCGGGAGGCCAGGGAAGGAAGGAGAGGCAGCCGAGGGCGCCGGGGCGCTGGGCGCGGTGGAGGGAGATCCCGGCGGTGCCTACGTTCCCCGTGCGCTGCGCCACGCAGGGGACTGTGCTGCCCTGCAGCTCACTGGGGCGTGCGCTCCTCCGGGCTCCCGCTGGCTGGAGGCGGGGTGCTCCTCCGAGTGTCCCGCTTTCTCCGCTCCCCCTCACCCCCACGGGGACTGTGGGCGCAGCTGCTCCCCCCACGCCCTCCCGGGCCTGTGGCCGTGACCCTGGCGGCGCCTGCCCAGCGCCCGCCCAGCGCCCATCCAGCGCCCAGCCGCCTGCAGTGCGACCCCTGGCGGCTGGGAGGGCCCCTTGCACCCAAGCAGCTTCTCACCACTCACACGATGCTGCAGGACACGAACGGGGCGGCCGCTGAAGTCCAAGGCGATCCTAGTCACATAGGCAATGCAGGCCTTGGGGAGGGCCCTGAAGGCCTAGGCAGCAACACCCAGGTGGCTCCCCCTACTTCCAGGTTTAGGGCACATTGTAGTCCCTTCCCGCCTAAGCCAGAGCTCTCAGTTCTCTTTTCTGAAAGTGACAAAAGCTTTGGAAAGAGGAAGAGGAAAGACCAGGAATGTAGGGTGTGAAGAGTAGCAGAGGTGTGGGGAACTGAGGAGGGACATGACCCTTCTGACTTTGCTGGGAGTGGAAGAGAAGAGGGGAGAGACTATGATGGCTAGAGGGCTAGCAGCAACCCAAGCCAGAGAGGAAATCTCTTAGAACATAGCACTCAAGCATCTGGAGAATAAGTATGGCGAGGGTGAGTTCATGCCTAGTGAGGGGGCAGAAATGAGACCTCAGAGCTTCCCTGAACCCATGCTTCAGAGGCCGGCCAGGTACTGCTTGTCTAATTTCTTCTAGGCTTAAAGGGCCATAAAGAAGGGGGAGCCAACCCAAGACCTACAGGGTGTCAGGATTTAAATCCTCTCTCCTAGGTAACATTAGCGCTGAGGCCAGCTACTCCGGAAGAAAGCTTGGATCCTTCAATCAGACACATCAGACCTCTGGTTCAGCTTGCAGTTGCTTCCTCACTTCTACTCACTGCCAGGCCACAGGGTTGAGGAAGAGGAGTAACTCACCTGGCCAGCCAGGACTTGTCCCCTGATGCTGCAACAGGGCTCTGAACAGATGGGAGGCACCTGTGCTGCCATGGAAGCCGAAATCCAGCCTCAACTCCCATGTCCAATGCTAGGTACAAATTCTGATGCTGGCCCAGCTGGCGTGGCTCAGTGGCTGAGCAGTGACCTATGAACCAGGAGGTCATGGTTCTATTCCTGGTCAGGGTACATGCCCTGGTTGCGGGCTCGAACCTCAATAGAGGCAGCTGATCAATGATTCTCTCTCATCATTGATGTTTCTCTCTCTCCCTCTCTGAAATCAATAAAAATATATTTAATTAAAAAAAAATGCCCTAACCGGTTTGGCTCAGTGGATAGAGTGTCGGCCTGTGGACTGAAGGGTCCCAGGTTCAATTCCGGTCAAGGGCATGTACCTTGGTTGCGGGCACATCCCAGTAGGAGTTGTGTAGGAGGCAGCTGATCGATGTTTCTCTCTCATCGATGTTTCTAACTCTCTATCCCTCTCCCTTCCTCTCTGTAAAAAATCAATAAAATATATTTTAAAAAAACAACAAAAAAACCCCAACAAATTCTGACACTGGGGGGTGGGTCTCGAGGGTGGAGGCCTTCCACAAACCACAATGGTGCTCAGAAGATGTAAAAAGCATAACAGATGGCCCAGCCCTGGCCGATAAACAGTGGTTAGAAGGTCTTGGATTCAATTTCCAGTCAAGGGCTCATGGTTGCAAGTTCAATCCTCGGCCCCAGTCAGGGTGTATGCAGGAGGCAACCAATCAATGTGTTGCTCTCATATCCATGTTTCTCTCGCTCTCTCTCTCTCCTTTCCCTCCCTCCCTTCTACTCTCTCTGAAAATCAATGGAAAAAATATTCTCGGGGGAGGATTAACAACAACAAAAAAGCACAACAGGTGAAAGGGTCAGTACCCCAGGGACTCCCTAGTTTCCCAGCCACATCCCAAACAGTAGACAAACACATCAAGGGTTTGATATGATTTTTTTATTAACATATAATATATTTAATAAAAAATAATATCCACTCTGGCTCTCTCCTCCATTGCAAGGGGAAGAGTGGTGAGGAGGGGCTGGCACTGCCCACCCCTGGGCATCCAGAACTAGCCTTGCCTCTGGGGCTCCCTCTACCCCCTGCTTTCCAACAGGCTCTGACCTCCAGACAGACGGTTCAAAGTTACAAGTGCTTTAGACCCTCCCTTGAGCTTCCCCAGGCCTACCCCTGTGTAGAAATCAGGGGCCGCCTGGATAAACCCCTTGCTTTTCCTCATTCTCGGGATCCCTCATTCATGTTAGAAAGAGGATCTGGGGGCAGAGAGTCGAGTCTCTACTGGCCAGGGGGAAGGGAGGAAGGGACAGTGATGGGGAACAGGGCCAGTCAGAGGGAGGATGGTGCGTCCCCTCACTGTAGCCTGTCACTGCGGAATGAATCCTCCACAGCAGGATCAGGCAGCAGGGCACAGGGGTCGCTCAGCATGTTGAGGCCTTCCAGGCCCAGTGGCTCCATGCGCAGTTCCTCCTCCAGCCCCAGCCCTAACTCCAACCCAGCTGCTGACACCTCGAAGCCAGGCACCCCAGAGAGGGCCGCTGCAATCTCCTTCGAGAAACCTGGGGAGGAGTCTCCTGTGTGGGCAGAAGAAATGGGTGAGGACCCCCTAATCTCCTACTGTGCCATCCCCCATGACCACCCACACCTCTCACCTGTGAGGATGATGTTAGGCCCTGAGCCATGGCGGGAACAATGGGTCAAGTTCTGGTGGTTGAGGGCATGGGGGTCCTGGAAGCCACTCACTGATCCCTCACCCCCTAAAAATCCAGAACCTTCAGAAAAGCCAGTGGGATCCAGCGCCAGGCTGGATGTTGAACTCTCCATGCTGAACTGCTCCAGCTATGGACACAAAGACAAACCCTGAGGGAGTGGGTCTCAGAACAGGGGTGCCTGCCTGCCAACATCCCGTTTCCCCAACAATCCCCCACCCCCACCCCCACACAAAAGCAGCGACAGGAGATGGCAGCAAGCAGAGCGACAGAGGTGAGCACGGGCCCCAAGTAGCTGTGGGCACCGTACCTGCTGGGACAGAGCTTGTGCGTGCCAGGAAGAGAAGGGGTCAAAGCAGTAGTCATCAAAGAGCAAGCTGTGCAGAGATAGCTAAGGGGAAAGGGACAGGAAAGGGGTCAGATGCAGGACAGGAGCCCCAAGTCGGCAGTGTCATATTCCCTGGAGGGAGGGAAGGTCTCCCCCACCTGGATCTCCCAACTCATACAGCACCAATGATATCACTCTGACCCACTCCCATTCCCTCCCTGGCTTCGGAGCTAAGAACCTGGTACTCACATTCCCCAGGTTGAAGTCACTCACTGGCCGGTGGTAAGACTGCTGCCCGTGCCCACTGGAGCTGGGAGGGTACAGTGTCCCATAGTGTAGCTGCCTGCCTGGGGGCTGCCCACCTGAGGGCTGCACCAAGCAGGCCTGAGAGGGCAGCCCTGGTTGCTGTAGAGGCTTTGGGGTGGATGGCTGGGCGGGCAGAACCAGACTTGAGTGGCTGTATGGGTATGAAGGCAGCCGCTGGTCAGTGGGCAGTTTACTGGTATCCAGGGGGACGCCCTAAAGAGAAGCAAGGAAAAAGGGGGAAGCGTACCTTTCAGCATGTCCCCAAGAGGAACTCTTAGGGCTTCCCACCCTTAGAAACTGCAACCATCCTCAACACAAACCCGACAATGTCCCCATAGATATCCCCGGGATTAGGTGCAATTACGCAAAACGGCTGATCAGAATAAAAGCAATTGAGTGAGGCTAATATAAGAATAATTTTTAAACAGGTCCAGAAGTAAACTACTCCTACACCTTGGTGCTTTAATGATTATTAGTAATCAAACACTTGTGACACTCCTAACAAGTGCTTGACAGCACAACAGTAAACTTGAGAACCGCCATTCTAAAGTCTTGAAAAGGCCAGAGGGAATGAGAGAGGAAGGAAGGAAGAAG